ATTTTCACAAGCAATTATTTGCTTGTGAAATAGCAAGGGTGTGAGCCCTGATGATACCTGAGTGAAGAATATTTGAAGTAGATGAAAAGCTAGAGCAGAGGCAACTGTGTGACTATGAGTCTAAGGGACAGTTTTCACTCCAGAATGAAAACTATAGAACTGTCTGGCTTTGTTAATTTGCTCACCTCAAGAAGTATTTTCCCTGGGCAGTACCATCCTGCTAGATGCTTCAGTGCTGCCGTGAGTCACCAGTCATGCTGCAGTGTGACCCAGTCACAAGATTCCAAACAGTTCCTACCCTGTGAGCTCCTTGATGACAGGGCTAGGATTTACTAGTTCATTTCCAAATCTAGGCACACAGGTGAATGAAAGACAAAGATGCTTGTTGTGAGGGCAGTTCATGACCATTTATAATTAATATGCTAGGTTTAAACACTGCTTCCACAGAGCTCCAAAAATGTGACAGAAATAGAAGTCGAAAATTTATTTCCTCGCTATATTTGCATTTTCAGGAGGTAATGAATCTGCTATCAGCCATTTCTCCTTTATACATATTTTGTAGGAGTGGTTCTATTGTATATCAAAAAAGTTTTTAAACCTGTTTTTAAACTCTCAGAGAGTAGCAGCCTTTTACCATTCTTATGATGTGAGTTAGATACTTCCCAGGGTAGTATTCTATACTTTTCAACAACAGAGTCTGTGAAATTTCTTACATACCCCATCTCCTTGCCCATCTGGGGCTGTAAGGTAAAATTCTGATGGCTACATGCATAAAGTGTACTTGAAGCAAGTCTTAAATTCTTAAATTCTCAGAGCCTCTATTTCTTTATTGTCAAATAAGAGTGCTATCTCTTTAATATAAAGATATTATTGGTAATATAAACATATTTTCAAGATTTGAACCTAATAATCTATATGAAACAATTTTGTAAACCTTAAAGTGCTATGCAAACAACACTTATTTAAATTAAAACAATCATTAATTACATTAATAGTATATCTTAATATATAATATCTAACCCTGCCCAAAGAGAAAGGAATATTTTACCTTTTCAGGTTTTTTTGACACACAGGGATTACACACACACACACACACGAATGTCTAGTAGAATTTTTGGTCCACAGAACTGCGGCATGTATCAGGCTGAATACTTTGAAAGCTGCTAGGGAGAGCTGGATTCTTTGCTGTCAGCTCAAAAATCCATGCTAAGTTCTTTTGCCAAATGACATTTGCTGTGGTTTGAATGTCCCCACCAAAACTCACGTTAAGAGGTATTAGGTCATGAGGGACCTGCCTTCAAATAGATGAGTGTACTTATCATGAAAGTGGGTACTTATAGCGGGAGTGGGCTCTTGATAATAAAAATATAAGTTTGGCAGAATTCTCTCTTCATTTCTAGTGCTTGCTTCCATCTTTTATCTTTAAACCATGGGATGACTCTTGCCAGATGTCAATGCCATGCTCTTGGAATTCCCACTTCCAGAATCACGAGCCACGCTTTTTCTCTTTTTAATAAGTTATCGAGTCTGTGACATTCTGTTATAATAGCAGAAAACAGATTAACACAGAAAATTGATACTGAGAAGTAGAACTATTATTATTTTTTAAATATCTGAAAGTATGGAAGTAGTATTGGAACTGGGTAATGGACAGAGGCTGGGAGAATTTAGAGAAGCAGGCTACAAGATGTCTATATTGTCTGGAATGGAGCATTAAGGGTGATTCTGAGCACTCTCATGAGTGCTCAGAAGAAGACAGCTGTAGGAAATATCAGAATCTTCTTTGAGATTACTTAAATGGTCATGACCAGAAAGTTGGTAGAAATATGAACAGTAAAGACCATTTTGATGAAACCTCAGACAAAAATGAAGAACAAGGTATTGGAAACTAGAGGAGAGATCATCCTTATTATACAGTAGCAAAGACCAAAGACCTTGGCTGCATTGTGTCCACGTCCCAGGACTTTATGGAAGGAAGAACTTAAGAACAGTGCACTAGAAATTAGTGGAAGAAATATCTAATCAGCAAAAGTTGAAGTTGATGCATAGCTGCCTTGAACTTCATACAGTGAGATGTGAAAGGAGAGGAATGACCTAAAATTGGAATTTATAATTAAAAGACAAACCGAACAGAAAGATTTGGAAGATTTGCAGCCTGGCTATATAAAAGGTCGAAAAGTGTATTCAGGAAAGAGTACTAAATGTATGGCCAGGCAACCTTTTGTTAGAGGTTAATGTGGATAGCAAGGTACGGTTCATCAAGAAAATAGGAGAAAGACCCTGAAGGCATTTGAAAGACCTTTGAGGCTGTCCCTGCTGTCCCAGCCCCAGAGTTCTAGGATGGTAGAATGGTTTTGGGTGCCAGACCCTGCCTGGTTGCTCTCCATGGACTTACTGCCCAGGGCTGCCTTGGGACTTGGCTCCCTACATTCTGGCACAGCACTCTTCAGCCACCCCAACTGTGGCTTAAGTGGTCCCAGGTGCAGCTTGACCCACTGTTTCACAAGATACAGGTGGTAAGCTTGGTGAAATTCATGTGGTGTTAGGTCTGCAGTCTCACAGAATACAAGAGCTCTGGGGGCATGGCTTCATCCATCTTGATTTCAAAAGATGATGCTTACTTCTTTGGGGCACAGGCAGAGACTCTGCACATGGGCAGAACTACCACAGAGAGCCCCCAACAGGACAGTGCCTAGTGGAGCCAAGGAAATGGGGTTGCCACCGAAACCCTGGAATTATAGTTAACAACGTACAGCTGTAGTCTGGAAAAGCCTCAGGCATGAGACTCCAACCCATGAGAGCTGAAGCATAGGCTGAGCCTATGGGAGCTATGGGAGCTATGGGAGCTGAGCTGCCTGAGGCTTTGGGGGTCCAACCCCAACCCAGTGTGCCCAGGATGGAGAATATGGAGTGAAAGGAAATTATTCTTCAGCTTTAAGATTTAATATTGTTCTTCCTGTTGGGTTTTGGACTTGCTTCAAATGAGTTATCCCTCTTTTCTTGCCTATTTCCCCATTTTAGAATGGGAATGTCTATTCTATGCCTTCACACATTGTATTTTGGAACCAGATACTTCATTTGGATTTAGCAGGCTTGTGGTTGTAGAATATTTGCCTTCAGGATGAAGTCTCACCCATATTTGATTTAGATAAGACTCTGGATTTTGAGTTAATGCTAGAGTGACTTTTGAGCCTACTAGGATGCAATGAATATATTTTGCATTGTATGAAGGACATGAATTTGGCAGAGAGGGGAGGGGAGGGGCAGAATGCTATTGTTTGAATGTCTCACCAAAGTTCATGTTGACATTTAATTGTGATTGTAACCGTGTTAAGAAATGGGATATTTAACAGGTAATTAGGCACCTCTTAGGCTCTTTCATTAGACAGAGCCCTCATGAATGGATTAATGCAGCTATAGAAGGAGTAAGTTGGTTATTGCATGAGTGGGCTCCTTATAAAAGGGTCATTTGGGCTCAATTTTCTCTCTGTCTCGTGTGACCCTTAGCAGAGGTCAGTGCCATGTTCATGTACTTCCCAGCCTCCAGTGAGTCAAATAAACTTGTGTCCCTTATAAATTAAGTCTGTGGTATACTCTAGCCGCAGAAAATGGATTCAGGCAACAAGGAGAGCTGTAAAATACTTCTTTTCAGCTACACTGGCTTTCATTATTATTATTTGGTTAAATGCTTCTGAGGACATTTTCTGTTGCATTCCTCCATGTTTGACAACCACACTCTACTGTGGAGTATTCTGGCTAAGCACTCAGTCTTATTCTACTTATACCAGCAGGGTGTAGTTGAGCAGGATAGTGAAAATCCACTGTGACACTGCAAAGACTCACTGCTATAAGAGGCCAGGAGTGAAATTCTCATTGTTTATAAACGTAGCTTCGTAAGTCCTAATCAAAAATTGTATCACCCTCAACATTACTCAATCCCAAGTCAATATTACTGTCAAATTTGAAAAATGTGAATTTGGGGATACCACAACTAAAAGGGATGTAGGAAATTTAAGAGGCTTTGGATGAAATGATGAAGGTAACTCTAAAGTTTTATTAAAAAAAAACTGAAGCACTGAGATAATATAGAAAAGGGGAGTAATTATAAAGTGAGAATAAAAAGGAAGACTTGCTTTAAATAAGCCAATCAACTAGTGATTTACATCATATGTAACAGGAAGATTAGATTTGATATGTTCTTGTGGACAAAAAGGTATTCCTATTGAATATACCCTTTTATCTTGCTTAATACCTAAATAAGTGTTAGCTTTTTCTTTTTATGAGTTATGCATAATATATTTTAAAGCAGCTGTTGTCATATTTCAGCAACATCTGATAAGTGTAATAATTTAATTCTCTGAGTTTATGGAACTTAATTCAGTGAATATTTATGTCATGGGTTGTGGCAGATTTTGATTTTTTGTGGAAGAGGTCAACACATACATACTATTTTAAAAGGCAGCAAAAATAATTGTGTTTTTGTACTTTTTGGTTAAAATTGCTTTTAATTTCATGAATTGCAGTTTAGGAATGTTTAATTTTCACATTCTTCACTTGATTTGAGTGAGAAAAATAAAATTGTCCTGGTTATGAAATTCTCAAGTGATTAATAATGATTTCTTTAAAGAACTGAAGATGCATATTCAGAGTTGTAGAAATAGCTACTGCTGTTTTAAACTAGATTAACAATCAGTGTTTCTACAGCACTAAGTATTTGTTTCTACTTTTTACTAGTATGACTCTGGAACTTTTCAATTCAGGGACATAATATAATAGAAAAGTTTTGCAAAGGCTTTGTAATCAGACAAACCTGGTCTCAAATCCTGGCTATCATGTATTTGCTATGGGCCTGGAGCACCTTACTCAAATGCTACTAACCTTCCTCCATAGGATTATTGTAAAGATTAAACATGATGCATCTGTTCAGTAACTAATAGAGTGCCTATTAAAAGGTAGATATTCAATAAATATTAATTCCCTTCTTTTCTTTTTCTCACTAGTCCACTTGTGTTTTTAATGGATCATCATTTACCCTGGATTGTACTGTAGGAGGCATCGTGGATGGATGGCTGCTGGAAACCCCTTGCCATAGCCAGCTCTTCTTCAATACTTAAGGATTTACCGTGGTTTTGAGTAATGAGAATTTCGGTAAGAAAAAAATATATTAAAATAGCATATGGAATTTCCCTAACAGGTTGTTTGAACCTCATATTCTTTGCAGTAAGTTACAGGGTTATTCTCTAAAGATCTTGGGATGGCATAGATGTCTGTACACATTTGGATTGTTCTTATTTTGAAAATAAATAAAATAGGTTTTTTAAAACTGTATGATCATCTTGATAGGCCCTTCTTGTCATTATAAATGTGTTATTTCACTTATCCCACTCTTCTGTGTTCTCTAAATGTCTTTGTACTCACTAAATTGCATAGTCTGGGAGGGCAGGGTCTGGGTATCATTCACTTTTTCAGCGTAAACTAAAGAAAGCACGAACACTTAGTGGTTAAGATGGCAGTTAACACTGCTTTCTGAAACTATAAAAGCATTGACAAAAACATGCAGGTAAGAGTATAAAACTCTGGTAAGTTCTAGCATAAATGATTTTTCTAAATCACCAAGAAAAAATATTATATAGTCACTCTCAAGATAGAATGGAGTATCTGTAGTTGGTTCCATTTTATCCAATTTTTTGCCAAATAAAAATAATTCATTTTCATATATTTACAGTAAGTTAATTAAACTAGTGCATCTCTGTTAGTAATGCCTGTTATTAACCTGTGCTGTATACAATATTATGGCCTATTAAAAAAGACAGAAAGATGAGGAGGAGTTCAAAGATAATATAAAAACATTAAGTGGTGACATTGGTGTATATTTAAATGAACAAATATGTCAACTTTCTTAAATTATCTTCGACACGCATCTGCAGAAATATCTGTTAAAGAATTTTGTGCATAAGAGACAGAGCTGGAGGTAGGAGAGAAAGCAAAAAAAAAAAAAGATTAATTCTAGTTTTGCTATTTTTGATAAGGAGGATTAATTTTGTATGACAAACATACATCTTTAGACCTAAAAATATGTTGACACATTATTTTAAACCTCACTTTTTAGCTAAAACCTTTAACCATTTGTTTATGATTATGTTTTTCAGAAACCACATTTGAGAAGTATTTCCATTCAGTCCTACTTGTGTTTACTTCTAAACAGTCATTTTCTAACTGAGGCTGGCATTCATGTCTTCATTTTGGGGTAATTTTATCTTTAGGCATAAATAATATGTTTATGATTATGACGATTGTCCTTGGATATCTTACCCATTAAGTTAGTTTATTTTCAGTTTGCTTATATCTCTAGGTGCTCAGTGTCTGGGGGATAGAAGGCAGACTGTAGAGACTCAGAAGAGGTTTGGTAAACACCTAACTGAGCAGTTCTATGTTGTTGTAATTGTCCAAAAGAGCATTATAGCCCTCAGATAAATTGGGCCTTGTGATATTTAACTGCACGTGGAAGTATATCACTTACTGATAGACAATGTTTTCTTTTTTTTTTTTTTTTTTTTTTTGAGACGGAGTTTCTCTCTTTTTACCCAGGCTGGAGTGCAATGGCGCAATCTCAGCTCACCGCAACCTCCGCCTCTGGGTTCAGGCAATTCTCCTGCCTCAGCCTCCTGAGTAGCTGAGATTACAGGCACGCACCACCATGCCCAGCTAATTTTTGTATTTTTAGTAGAGACGGGGTTTCACCATGTTGACCAGGATGGTCTCGATCTCTTGACCTTGTGATCCACCCGCCATGGCCTCCCAAAGTGCTAGAATTGACTATGTGTTTTCTGAGGCAATTAATAGTAGATATTTACAATTTGCTTATGTTACTTTTTTATCTGTCCCTAACACTGACTCCTCCTATCCCTTGATCCTTATCCTAGTTCAGTTTAAAACATTTCTTTCTTTTGTTTTTTCCTTCTAATAAAATTCATATGTTTCCATGACTATTAACTTTTTTCTTCTCTCTTAGATGCAGCTAATATACCCAGTTGGCCCAAAGCACCTAACCTATAGTTATATAATCTGACTCTCAGTTCAGTTTTACTCTACTAATGCCTTCATGGTATTGGGAACCATAGATTTGTGCAGGTAATTCTTCATCATAAGACAGATTAGTTTGACTATCATGCTTCTGTGTAAGGTCCATCAGGAAGTGAGTGATTGTTTTTCCTCAAGCTCTAAGAATCATTCCAATGTTACTTGGTCAGAGTAAGTGTATTTTGCCTGGATATAAATTGTATTTATTTTTAATTTTTTTAATATATATTTTATTGCACTTTAGGTTCTGGGGTACATGTGCAGAACACGCAGGATTTATTGCATAGGTACATACATGGCAATGTGTTTTGCTGCCAACATCCCCCCGTCACCTATATCTGGCATTTCTCCTCATGTTATTCCTCCTCAGCCTTCCTACCCCCTGCTGTCCCTCCCCTAGTACCCCCCCAACAGACCCGAGTGTGTGATGCTCCCCTCCCTGTGTCCATGTGTTCTCATTGTTCAATGCCCACCTATGAGTGAGAACATGTGGTGTTTGATTTTCTGTTCTTATGTCAGTTTGCTGAGAATGATGGTTTCCAGATTCATCCATGTCCCTACAAAGGACACAAACTCATCATTTTTTATGGCTGAGTAGTATCCTATGGTGTATATGTACCACATTTTCCTTGTCCAGTCTATCATTGATAGGCATTTGGGTTGGTACCAGGTCTTTGCTACTGTAAACAGTGCCGTGATGAACATACATGTTCACGTGTCTTTATAATGGAATGATTTATAATCCTTTGGATATATACCCAGTAATGGGATTGCTGGGTCAAATGGATTTCTATTTCTAGGTCCTTGAAGAATCACCACACTGTCTTCCAAAATGGTTGAACTAATATACACTCTCACCAACAGTGTAAAAGTGTTCCTATTTCTCCACATCCTCTCCAGTATCTGTGGTCTCCATATTTTTTAATTATTGCCATTCTAACTGGCATGAGATGGTATCTCAATGTGGTTTTGATATGCATTTCTCTAATGACCATGATGATGAGCATTTTTTCATATGTTTATTGGCCTCATATATGGCTTCTTTTGAAAAGTATCTGTTCATGTCCTTCACCCACTTTTGAATGGGTTTGTTTGTTTTTTTCTTGTAAATCTGTTTTAGTTCTTTGTAGATTCTGGATATTAGCCCTTTGTCAGATGAGCAAATTGCAAAAATTTTTTTCCCATTCTATTGGTTGCTGGTTCACTCTAATGATTGTTTCTTTTGCTGTGCGGAAGCTCTGGAGTTTAATTAGATCCCATATGTCTATTTTGGCTTTTGTTGCCAGTGCTTTTGGTGTTTTAGTCATGAAGTTCTTGCCTATGCCTATGTCCTGAATGGTTTTGCCTAGGTTTTCTTCTAGGGTTTTTATGGTATTAGGTCTTATGTTTAAGTCTTTAATAGATCTGGAGTTAATTTTAGTGTAAGGTGTCAGGAAAGGGTCCAGTTTCTGCTTTCTGCACATGACTAGCCAGTTTTCCCAACACCATTTATTAAACAGGGAATCCTTTCCCCATTGCTTGTTTTTGTCAGGTTTGTCAAAGATCAGATGGTTGTAGATGTGCGGCATTGCTTACGAGGCCTCTGTTCTGTTCCATTGGTCAATGTCTCTGTTTTAGTAACAGTACCATGCTGCTTTGATTACTGTAGCCTTATAATATAATTTGAAGTCAGGTAGCATGATGCCTCCAGCTTTGTTCTTTTTGCTTAGAATTGTCTTGGCTAGGCGGGCTCTCTTTTAGTTCCATGTGAAGTTTAAGGTTTTTTTTTTAGTTCTGTGAAGAGGGTCATAGGGAGCTTCATGGTGATAGCATTGACTCTATAAATTACTTTGGACAGTATGGCCATTTTCACAATACTGATTCTTTCTAACTATGAGAACAGAATGTTTTTTCATCTGTTTGTGTTCTCTCTTATTTCCTTGAGCAGTAGTTTGTAATTCTCCATGAAGAGGTCCTTCACATCCTTTGTTAGTTGTATTCCTAGATATTTTATTCTCTTTGTAGCAATTGTGAATGGCAGTTCATTCTTGATTTGGCTCTCTTTAAGTCTGTTATTGGTGTGTAGAAATGCTTGTGATTTCTGCACATTAATTTTGTATCCTGAGACTTTGCTGAAGTTGCTTATCAGTTTACAGAGATTTTGGGCTGAGATGATGGGGTCTTCTAAATATACAATTATGTCATCTGCAAATAGAAACAATTTGACTTCCTCCTTTCTTAGTTGAATAGCCTTTATTTATTTTTCTTGCCTGATTGCTCTGGCTAGAACTTCCAATACTATATTGAATAGGAGTGGTAAGAGAGGGCATCCTTGTTTAGTGCCAGATTTCAAGGGGAATGCTTCCACTTTTTGCCCATTCAGTATGATAGTTGCTGTGGGTTTGTTGTAAATAGCTTTTATTATGCTGAAATATGTTCTGTGGGTATCTAGTTTATTGAGAGTTTTTAGCATAAAGCATTGTTGAATTTTGTTGAAGGCCTTCTCTGCCTCTATTGAGATAATCATGTGATTTTTGTCTTTGGGTCTGTTTATGTGGTGGATTATGTTTATAGACTTGCGTATATTGAACCAGCCTTGCATCCTTGGGATGAAGCCTGCTTGATCATGATGGATAAGCTTTTTGATGTGCTGTTGCAGTTTGCCAGTATTTTATTGAGCATTTTTGCATCTATGTTCATCATGGATATTGGCCTGAAGTTTTTTTTTTTGTTGAATCTCTGCCAGGTTTTGGTATCAGGATAAGGTTGGTCTCATAAAATGATTTAGGAAGGATTCCTTCGTTTTGGATTGTTTGGAATAGTTTCAGAAGGAGTGGTACCAGCTCCTCTTTATGTCTGGTAGTATTTGGGTGTGAACCCATCTGGACCTAGGCTTTTTTTGGTTGGTAGGCTATCAATTGCTGCCTCAACTTCAGACCTTGTTACTGGTCTATTCAGGGTTTCAACTTCTTCCTGGTTTAGGCTTGTGAGGGTTCAAGTGTCCAGGACTTTATCCATTTCTTCCAGGTTTATTGGTTTATGTGCATAGAGTTGCTTGTAGTGATTTCTAATGTTGGTTTGTATTTGTGTGGCATCAGTGGTGATATCCCTTTATCGGTTTTTATCGCATCTATTTGATTCTTCTTTCTTTTCTTTTTTTATTAATCTGGCTAATGGTCTGTCTATTTTGTTGATCTTTTCAAAAAACCAGTTTCTGGATTTATTGATGTTTTGAAGGGTTTTTTGTGTCTCTATCTCCTTCAGTTCTGCTCTGAACTTAGTCATTTCTTGTCTTCTGCTAACTTTTGAGGTTTTTTTTTTTTTTTATCTTGCTCCTCTAGCTCTTTCAATTTTGATGATAGAGTGTCAATTTTAGATCTTTCCTGGTTTCTCATGTGGGCATTTATTGCTATAACTTTCCCTCTAAACACTGATTTAAATGTGTCCCAGAGATTTTGGTACTGGGTGTCTTTGTTCTCATTGGTTTTGAAGAACATCTTTATTTCTGCCTTCATTTCACTGTTTATCCAGTCAACATTCAAGGCCAGTTGTTTGGTTTCCATGAAGTTGTGTGGTTCTGAGTTAGTTTCTTAATGAAAGTGACTAAGTATACATGATCATTCAGTCTACACTGGGCTAATTCTACATTGTTTATGGAGAAAGCTACTGCAAGCAAAGTAAGAGTGTGAGCAACATGAAAGAGGCATGTTTAATATATTGCAAAAAATAATCTACTGTCAAAATCATTATATGAAAATAATTACTTATTTTAAGAATTTTACCTATTTATTAGACTTAAAAGTCTGATAAAATCTCTGCCTAAAGGAAACTAGTAATTCATTTAAATGCACACCAACAATAGACTGGACAAAAAAATGTGGCACATACACACCATGGAATACTCTGCAGACATAAAATGTGATGAGTTTGTGTCCTTTGTAGGAAATAGATGAATCTGGAAACCATCATTCTCAGCAAACTGACACAAGAACAGAAAATCAAAGACTGCATGTTCTCACTCATAGGCGAGTGTTGAACAACAAGAACACATGGACACAGGGAGGGGAGCATCACATACTGGGGTCTATTGTGGGGGGATTGGGGGAGGGACAGCTGGGGATGTGGAGTTTGGGGAGGGATAACATGGGGAGAAATGCCAGATATAGGTGACGGGGGGATGGATGCAGCAAACCACTTTGCCATGTGTGTACCTATGCAACAGTCCTGCATGTTCTGCATATGTACCCGAGAACCTAAAGTACAATTAAAAAATATATACATATATATCTGTATGTGTGTGTGTGTATATATGTATGTATATATATGTATTATATATATATATATATATATATATATATATATATATATATAATCATTTATTGAGCATTGCCACATGTTTGGCTCTGTTTCTATGTCATTGTGGTAAATTGACCCAGTTTATTTTAAAGTATGTCTCCAATTAGGCTTTTCTCTAATTTGGGTTTGTCAAGCCTGATGTTATCATAAAATGTCAAAACTGTACTATATGTTCAGTGTGTACGTTCAGCTACAAGGCTGTTGAATGCACAGAGGCAAGGATAAAAATGATTTTTTTCACTGGTCAGAGTAAAAAATTATTGATTGCTCTTCTGCTTATAGTGTCCATCAAGATGAATAAGCTTTTTCAATATGCTTTGCTCTGTGGTTTTTCTTTCAGCTGTTTTAGTGCAGCACTTCCTAAAACAGAAGCCATCTGGGTGGATGTAATAAGTGATTTGAGAAGAATTCAAGATCTTATTCAAGTGAGTACTCAATTTTTCCATAAAATAGCTGGTATAATAGATATGGAGTATGTCTGTCTCTGTGTTTTTCTGTCAGTCTCAAGGAAACCACACTAGAAACAGTAATATTTTTGTAGAAATTTATGAACTTATGAAACTCCAAAAGGATTGTTTTCCTTACTGTTTTTGAATCTAATTATCTTTAAAAACATAATTTATAAGAGGCCCAGCCTGATAAGTTCTAATCTGCACAGGTGAGGGATTCTCTTCCTCTTTCTGGAGAAACCAGATATCTTGGGGGCACCTGCAGGGGGAATAGCTTGACCCAGGGAAGAGCTGTTGCTTGTGTACTAAAAGCCCTCTTCTCCTACCTAGAGAAAAGAGGTGACCTGACCTAAGGAAGTGCTCTTACCATAGCAGCTAATACCAGCTTCAGTGGAAGTCTCAATGGCACCAGGCATACCAAAATAGCACCACGAAGTTTTCAAAACTAAATTGTCATTGGAATCACAGCATTAAAAAGTAGGTTAGAACTTGCATGCTAAATTCAAACGGGCTGACTGCACGTTAAAACAGAAGATTTAAATAGGACCAGAGTGTCCTAATATAATAGACACAAAGCCAAGATACAAATGAAAATCATCCATTGTATCAAGAAGTAGGAAAGTTACAATATTAACGAGAAAATATAATCCACAGACTACAGAATTGAAATGGATCAGATATTGGAATTGTCTGACATGGATTTGAAAGCAGACATTATAAAAAGTGCTTCAAAAAGCAATTACAAATGCCATTGAAGCAAATGGAAAATGAAATGCCTTAACAAAGAAATAGAAGATATGAAAGGAACCATGTAGAAATTATAGAACTGAAAATATAACTAAAGTACAAAACAAACTGTAAAGGCTCATTAACAGACTGAATAACAGAGGAATGATAGTTAATTTGACAACAGAATACTAAAGAGACAACTGACTTTAAAAAAAAAAAAACATCAGTGATCTGGAGTCTGGAGGATACTAACAAAAGATCCAGCATTCCTATGGTCAGCATTGTAGAAGAGTATGATAATACACCAAGTAAGAGAGACAGAGACTGGTTGAGTGGACAACAGAACAAAACCCATTTATGCTATCTGTAAGCAGTCCACATCTAGTAGAATGACATATATAGGGTGAAATTTAAAAAACAGATAAAGACATATACCATACCATAATGGGTTGAATAGTGCCCCCCAAATTTCACATCCACTTGGAACCTTAAAATGTAATCTTATTTTAAAATAATATCTTTGCAAATATAATAAATGAAATTAAGATGAGATCATACCAGAGAGGGGTGGGCCCTAAATCCAATGACTAGTGTCTTTATTAGAAAAGGAAAGGACACAGAGGAACTCCCTGGAAAGAAAGCCATGTGAAGACAAGGGAAGAGATCAGAGTGATACAACTATAAGCCAAGGAAAGTTAGGGATTGCCAGGATCCACCATAACCTTGGGAAAATCAAGAAAGGATTCTTCTCTAGAGCCCTCAGAAAGAACGTGGCTCTACCAACATCTGGACTTCAGACTTCCAGTCTCCAAAACTGTGAATCAATAAATTTATGTTGTTTTAAACCACCCACTTTGTGGTAGTTTGTTACAGCAGCTCTAGACTGATATACATGCATACATTAATTGTAAAAAGCAAAAGTGGCTATATTAACATCAAATAAAGTAGACTTCACAGTAAATAAAGTTACTAAAATCAAGAGGGCCATTACATAATGATAAAAAATAAATCCATGAGGAAAACATAATGTTCTTAAATGTATACACATCAAATAACAAAGCCTCAAAATTTGTGAAGCAAAAAATAATAGGGCTAAAGAAGAAATAGACAAATCCACAATTATGCTTGAGAACTTTACCACGTCCCCCTCAGGAACTAATAGAAATACTAGACAGAATATCAGAAAGGGTATAAACATATAGCATAACCAACCAAGAGGATTGAATATAGTACATAGAGCACTACACACAACAACAGCAGAATATACTTTCTTTTATCAAGACTGAATATATCCTGAGCCATAAAGCAAACTTTAAAATTTTTTTCAGAACTTAAACCATGCAGAATTTGTTCTCAAACCAAAATGGAATCTAACCAGAAATCAAGAAATTAAACACAATGGGCAAATTTCCAAATGCTTGGAAATTAAATACTATACCTCTATATAATCCATGGGTCAAAGAATAAATTTCAAAATATATTCAAAATACATAGAATGAAAAAAATTAAATACAGCATATCAAGATATGTGCAATGCGGCTGAAGCAATACTGATAGGGACATTTTTTAAATCAAATGATTACATTAGAAAAAAAGGAGAATTATCAAATCAAAAATTAATTTACCACTTCAAGAACCTATAAGAAGTAGAGCAAAATAAATTCAACATGAGCAGAACAAATAAAATGTTAAATATAAGAGCAGAAGTTAATGAAATTGAAATCAAGAAAACAATAGAAAAAATAATGAAACATAAAACCAGTTATTTGAAAAACAAATAAAATTGTTATATCCTTAATAAGACTGACAAAAATAAAAAGAGAAAAGACACAAATCTCAGGAATGAAATTTGGGACTATCAGTATAGAATCTGTAGTCACTCAAAGGATAATAAGAAAAACTATGAGCAATTTTATGCTTACAGATCTGACAACTTAGAGGAAATGGACCAATTCTTCAGAAACCACAAACTACCAAAACATAATGAAGATAAAACAGACAATCTAAACACTCCTATAATCACTAAATACATTGAATTCATCATACACAGGCTCCCAAACAGGAATCTCCAAGCCTGCTGCTTACACTGAAACATTCTACCAAATATTTAGAAAAGCATTAACAATTATAGTCTTTTCTAGAAAACAAAAGAGGAAGGAATGTTTTCCAGTTGGTTTTAGGAGGCCAGTATTACTCTGATGCTAAACCCAAATAAAGGCATTACTAAAAAAGAGAACTACAAAAAATATCTCCCATTAACTTAGATATTAAAATCCTCAATAAAATATTAACAAATCAAATTCAGCACTGTATAAAAAGAATTATACACCATGACTGAGTGAGACTTATTTCAGGCATGCAAGTCTTGCTCAATTATTTGAAAATCAACCAATGTAATCTACCATATCAACAGGCTAAAGAAGGAAATCATATGTAGAAAAGGTATCTGATAAAATGCTTCTTATGGGCTTAACTCTGTCCCTCCCTATGCCCCTGGATTTAATGTTGAGGTACTAATTGCCAGTATCTCAAAATGCGACTGTATTTTGAGATAAGGTCAGTTAAAATGAGGTCATTAGGGTAGGTTCTAATCCAATATGACTGGTATCTTTAGAAAAACAGATAAAGATATAGATACAGAGAGATGGAAAACCATGTGAAGACACTGGGAGAAAATGGCCATCTATAAGCCAAGGAGACAGCACTCCAGAGAAACCAAGCCTGCTGGTCCCCTGATTTCAGACCTCTAGCCTCCTGAATTATGAGAAAATAAAGTTATATTATTTATGTCACCCAGTCTGTGGTACTTCTTATGGCAGCCCTAGCAGGCTGATATAATGCCTATTGAAGATAAAATTTATTAGCAAAGTACGTGTGGAGAACTGCCTCAAGTTGATACAAAACATGTGCAGAAAACCTAGAGCTACCATACTTAATGGTGAGTGCAAGACTGAATGCTTTTCTAGTAGGACTGGAAACTAGACAAGGATATCTTCTCTCCCCACTTTTACTTACCATAATTGTCTTAGTATTTTTGTTGCTTATAACAGAATACCTGAAATGGGTAATTTATAAGAAAGGAATTTATGTCTAACGGTTATGAGACTGAAAAGTGCAAGGTTGAGGAGCCACATCTGGTGAGGGCTTTCCTGCTGATGGGGGCTCTTTGGAGTCCAGAGGTGACGCAGAACATCACATGGCGAAAGGCTGAGTGTGATAATGTGCTAGCTCAAGTATCTCTTCCTCTTCTTATAAAACTACCAGTTCCTCTTCCTTGATAACTCATTGATACTTTAATCCGTGAGTGGACTAATCTGTTGAAAAGAGCAGAGCCTTTGTGATTTTATTGCCTTTTAAAGCCCCTCATGTCAATACTGCCGCATTGGGGATTAAGTTTCAACATGAATTTTGGAGGGGACATTCAAACCATGACAATAATATTGGAAGTTCGGCCAAATTATGAAACAGGAGAGAAAAAAATGTATGAGGGAAAAACAAAGAAATAAAAGGCATGCAGATTGAAAAAGGAAATATATATATCTCCCCAGGTTTTTTTGAGAGAAAGTACTAAAAATGGGCATATTTTGTTTAGAAAATAATGCAAATTAAAACCACAATGACATATTATTACATGCAGCTATAAGCATGTACAAAATAAAAAGATAGTGATGATGCTAAGTGAACATAAATACACGAGGGTGATAATGCTGGAAAAGATGCGGAGAATCTGGATCATTTCTACATTGCTGGTGATTATGTAAAATGATACAGCCACTCTATAAAATAGTTTGGCAGCATCCTATAAAACAAAACATACATTTGCCATGCAATCTACCTATTATACTCTCAGACATTCATCCTAGACAAATGAAAACTTTTGTGCACACAAATATATACATGAATGTTCATAGAGGTTTTTTAATAACTGCCAAAAACCAGAAACAAATTTGCTTCAGTTGGTAAAACTGTGGTATATCATGTCAGGGAATACTACAGAGCAATGAAAAGATGCAAACTCATGATACGCGCAAGTTGGGTGGATCTCCAAGGTATTGATGTGTGAAAAAAGCCAATCTTCATAAACAAACTGTGATACATCCATAAAATAGAATATTATCCAGTGATAAAAAGAAATAAGCTGTCAAGCCATGAAAAGAAACGGAGAAACCTTCAAAGCCATATAGTTAAGTGAAAGATGTGGCCACCGATCTGAAAAGGCTTCACACTATGACATTTTGGAAAAGGCTAAACTATGGAGACAATAGAAAGATCAGTGGTTGCCAGGGGTTCAGAGGGAGAGAGAGATGGCTAGGCAGAGCACAGGTGACTCTTAAAGCAGTGAAAATATTAATATATGATGAGGGATGACATTATATGTTTGTCAAAACCTATAAAACATACAACACGAATAATAAGCCCTAATATCTTATACACTTAAGACCACAGACTTCATAATAATGTGTCAATAGTGACTCATCAATTACAACAAACACACCACACTAATACAAGATATTAACAGCAGGGGAAACTGGGGTTGAGGACAAAGGGATGCGTATGTCTCTGTACTTTCTGCTAGTTTGTCTGTAAACCTAAATGGCTTATAAGAACATCTATCAATTATTTTAAAAGCTAATTTCAGAAGGTTACATACTATTTGAGTCCATTTACATAATATTCTTGAAATGACAAAATTATAGGAATGGAGAACAGAGCAGTGGTTGCCAGAAGCTAGAGAGATTGGGTGGTGATGAGGTATGTATGGGGAGAGAGGTGAGGTTGGTTATGAAAGAATAGCTGTGATGGAACTATTTTGTATCTTAACTGTGGTGGTGGTGATGTGAATCTATGCAAGTGATAAAATTGCATAAAACTTCACACAAATGCATGCACACACACCGTGGCACTTAAAACGTGTGAAATCTGAACAAGGCGAGTGCATTGTATTCATGTCAATTTTTTGATTCTAATACTGTGCTTGTTGAAGGGTACACAAGATATCACCACTGGGGGAAGCTTGTTGAAGGTTACACTAGATCTCTCTGTATTTACTCTTACAATTTCAGTAGGTTGTTCTCATTATATTTAAAGCAGGCCATAGTTGTTAATATTGTCTAATTTTATTTCCTTTCAGTCTATACATATTGATGCTACTTTATATACGGAAAGTGATATTCATGTGAGTGTACTTTTTTTCAAAGTTGCTATTTGTCTAGTTATCAAAGTTTTTAAAAGTATATTTTTGTAACAACTAAAATGTGTAGTTTTTAAATCTTAACTTTGGGTGTGTTTCTATGATATATTATCAGTGAGTTTTATTAGTGATTGTTGAGGTGGTACTTGAGGACAGAGAGCTACATAAATGCTATTTTTGTAATGATGCCAAATCAAAATATTTTAAGTCTTTTCTATCAATGTCAAACAAGATACGTTATACGTTTTTGTGATGCAGTTGCATCATAATGCAATTAGATGCAAAAATCGGGTTAACTGATTCAATTTAAGAGTAGCCGGCATATCAGTTATTTACAGTGCTGGAATTTATCACTGTCTGCAATCATATTTTCTATAAATTGCTTAAAGTCATCTATATTCTGCATTTTACATGGTTATCTACATTTGTCAGAAAAAGATTCTGACTGATTACTCTCTTTGTGAGAAAAGAATCATAATCCATGAAACTTATTAGAATTCAAATGTGATCTTGAACTTGTTTTATTAATACAGTGATGTTTCCTAAGGCATGTAGGATTTGTCATACTGGTAGTGGTCCTTCCTTTGGGATTGCTACTTAAACCAAGAAATGAATCCCCAACTTCACCTCAGGGAAAACAAACTCTATGTCCTCTCTCCATTATTCCTCGATTAGAACTTCTCTTACATAGATGACTTTCTAAGCATTGGAAAGAAGCCATAGCCAGAACCTAGAAAAAAGATATTCACCAACCGATTGGGTTATGCTGCTGCACAAAGAAATTGTCTTCCTCCTCTGGCTTCAGTGTTTTCTGTTTTCCTTTGCATATTTTGTAAAATGGAAAGTAGTCAATTAACCACCAAATTCAGCATCCTGAGATTGCTTTTTTGCAAGAAGATAACTTTGCAACCCATGGGTTATAGAAACAACCTTAGATTCAAATTTAGATTTTGAAACTGACTCCACCACTTTTTCCTTGTGTTACCTTGGTAATTACTAAAAATTTCTGAAGCTCAATTTTATTATTGCTGTTATAATGACAGTATTTGCCTTTCAACCCTAAGCAGTGGCTGTTGGGATTAAGCAATATTACAAGTGCTGGGCAAATGGGTGCATTCCCTCATTTATTCATCCATTCAGTAAGCATTTGTGAAGTGCCTGCAGGCTCCCAGGCACTATGCAAGGCATTGGGGACACAAAGTCAAATAATGATCAAATCCTCTGATATTCCTTAAGTGTTTCCTTTCTTTTAAGTTCTTGTCAAAGTAAATGTTGTGGAAAATGTATTTTTGTGGTTCCTAAGAGATCTTTTTCTGATTTGGTCACCCTATGAGTGGACACTAATCCTGCTTTGATTTTTTTGAGTAAATTTACTGGAATTACTTTTCTCCCTATGGAACTTTGGAACTTGAAAGAATAGTGTAATTAGCAGCTACCACTATTTAAAATGTTAACAACACAATTTGTTTCTAAAGATTCTTGCAAAAGCACTGTCTATATTGATGCTTTCTGAGCCTAAGGCCAGTATTATTACCCTTTCCACAGGGGAAATCTGCTCAGTGAGAAGAATTGGCCACAGTGTCCACATTTTCTAGTTTCATGTTACTCTGTTCAATATTGCCATCCTTCCTGATTATGTCTTGGTTTGTTTTGGTTTTGATTTTAAAGCCAAAAGAAAAAAAAGCTGCCTCCTATGCAAAATATTTTAAGAATATTGTGTCTCTTTATGAAATATTTGGATTGACTTTTTAAAAATCAAAATTACATCAGTGTGAAAACGAATAGTCAGAAAAAAATTTAATTGTTCTTTATAACTTTTATTTTTAGCCCAGGTGCAAAGTAACAGCAATGAAGTGCTTTCTCTTGGAGTTACAAGTTATTTCACTTGAGTCCAACAATACAAATATTAATGATACAATAGAAAATCTTCTCATCCTAGCAAACAGAAGTTTATCTTCTAATGGGGTGAGTTTTCCAATAGTTGCTCAGAGTTGCATCTTATATTTTGGGCCTGATTTGCTGAAGTCAGTCATGGACAAGAAGATCCCCCTAAGGGGCACTCAGGAGAAGGAGGTCTGTTTCAGTGGAGTGGCATCCAAAAGTGGCACCATCTCCAGCATGCACACAATGCTAAACTGTTCAATGATTTATTCAGTAGACAGACATTTAACAGAATAATGCCAGGTAGTGTGCTTCAGTGCTAGAATTGTAACTGTGAGCCAGACAAACAGGTTATTGACCTCGAGGTGTTTATTTTCAGGTGCAGTGGATAGACATTAATCTCATTACATACTCAAGTGTCTATCATCAATAATTGTAACTCACATGTATTAGGTTATTACTGTGTGCCAGACACTATTCTTTGAGCTTTAAATTGATAATTCATTTAATCCTCGTGATAAATCTGTGAGACAGTTATCTTTATTTTTATTTGAATGTTGAAGAAATTGTAGCACTGAGAGCTTGGATCACTCACTCCAGTTCATGCACCTAGTAAAATGGGGGGTCACAATTCTTAACCAAATAGTTTGTCTGCAGAGTCTATAATCTCATGAGAAGATAAATGCTTTAAAAGGATAACAATGAAAATATTAACAATTCGAGTATAATCTGGGACATCCCAGGCAACCTGAGCAGTAGAGGGTTCCAGGAGAGCAAATTCAGGCACTCCTATAATAGTCTGGGGAATAGCTGTGCAAAGGCCCTGGAGTGCTAAGAATTATGGCTTTCATGACAAAACGCCAGTGGCCAAAGCAAGTAGAGAGAATGCAGTTTTGCAACAAAGAAGCCATAATCAAATTCGTTCATTGCAAAAATACTTTTTAGCCCTCAAGAGACAGTATGAAAAAATACCCATAATCCCTGCTGCTAAAGAGGGGAGAAACAGAAGTAAACCGATCACTCAGCACATGAGTAATAAGTTAGTTAGTCCAGCAATGAAAAAGGAGGCGGGGTAGGGGTCCTAGGGTTCCAATTTAAGGGAGGCTCAACTAATAAGCCGCCATTTGACAAAGATGTGAGGGAATGAGCCTTAAGGGTATCTAAGGTCATACCTTCAGGCAGAGACAACTGAACTGAGCCTTAAGGGTATCTAAGGACATACTTTCAAGCAGAGACAACTGAAGCTCAGTGCAAAGGCCCTGAGCTTCTGTGAGTGAACACCATGACATTTTTCTAAAAATACAAGGCTGCTTTAGGTCTTTGCTTCAATGTCACCTTCTCAGTGACATTACCTATTTACAGGTGCAACCTCTTCTCTATTGGAGTACTCCCTGTCCCTTTCTCTGCATGTCCCATATCTGGCATATCATATATTTTACCTAATGAGTGTTGTCTGTTTTTCCCTACTAGAATTTCAGCTTAAAAGGGACAAGTATCTTTGTTTTTTATTAGTACTGGATCCAAATTCCCAGAACAGTGTCTCAAATATTTTTAATACTTTATATATTTGTGAAATGAACTTATTAAGGTTTATAATATTCTTATGCTGTTATCTCCATCTTATTGGTGGAGAGAGTGAGCTGTGCAACAAATGATACATGGCAAAATAAATGATGAGCTCTTTAATATGAATGTCGATAGTCACCCTCATCATGACAGACTGTGACATACGTGCTGGAACGTGTGGGCAGGACTGCACAGTCAGAAGATGTGGATGCAAAGTATTTCAGTTGATTATGTCAGTTGAGATGAGTCAAAATCTCTGTCTTCCTATCCGACATGATTATTTTCAGGATCAAATAGGACAGCATTTTATGAAATGTGACAGTGCTTGGCATAGAGGATGTGCTTGATAAATGTTGGTGATCCTGAATTCCAAATAGTTAACGGATATAAAATCTAATTTTTATTTTCGATGGCACAGCCTTCATGGTTCAGAGGACCTCTAAAAACTTTATTCCTAATTGCTGTATTTGGAGTATTCTAGTTATCCATGAGACTGTGTTTGAATTACGACCATTTGTGGTATTCACCTAAATGGCTCAGTTCAACCAGTGGGTGATTACAATGTGTCAAGCCCTGTGTTAAATGTTAGGGAAACAAACATACTGGCTTTGCACTTCTGGTACACAGCTTAGAGAATAGCATTACAGTATAAAAAGAGTAAAAGTTCATAATATGAATAGAATACGTGAGATGTTGCGAGAGAGGTCTGAACAAGGGGTTCTGAGATGTAAAGATGGGATGTTGAGTCCAGCCCTGGGAGCTCAGGATTTCAGAGAAGCCTCCCTAAAAGAGTACCTAAAGTGTGAATAGCAGCAGCTAAAACTGGAAAGAATGTAAAAGAGAGAAAAGCAAAGGCAGAGAGGCATCTAATAGCATGCTGTGCATGGCAAGGAAGGCCAGGCGCTCGCTCAGTATTCCTAGAGCATAACATTGAGGCATTGGGTATATGTGAAATAATTAGGTAAGGAACAGCTTATGAAGAGCCTGTGTGCTATGCAGAGAGCCATGAACTTTATGCTAGAAGCAGATGCTAAGAAACCATTGAGGGGCTCTAAGCAGGAAGCAGGAAGTCCATGGTCCGATAGACACAGCTTATTTTTCTCAATGTCCTTAACCCATTATTGGAAAAATAAACCCATATCAAATCTCCCTGTTCTTTTTTCTCATAGTTCTTCCTAATATACTATTAATTTGCTAACGTTTTCATATCTCAAGAACTTACCATATGGTTCAAACGGTATGATATTCCCATGAACATATATTTAATTTAATTATAAATTGCCAATTTAATCCTTTCTTTATATTTTACAGACTATTACAGAATCTGGATGCAAAGAATGTGAGGAATTGGAGGAAAAAAATATTAAAGAATTTTTGCAGAGTTTTGTACATATTGTCCAAATGTTCATCTATACTTCTTAATTGCAACTGATTCTTTTTGAAGTGTTTCTGTTATTAACAAATATCACCCTGCTGCTTAGACATAACAAAACACTCGGCATTTCAAATGTTCTGTCAAAACAAGATTTTTTGTCAAGAAGATGTTCGGATCTTGGATCAGATGAAGTCTTAGAAATGAAGGCATAAAAATGTCATTGAGTAATATATAGTGACTATGAACTTCTCTCAGATGTACTTTACTCATTTGTTTTTAATTTATTATTGAAATTGTACATATTTGTGGAATAATGTAAAATGTTGAATAAAAATGTAGACAAGTGTTGTCATTTGAAGTTGCACTGATATTTTTCCTCTTAGAGCAAAATAGAGAGCATCTGCTTAAGGGTGATAGTTGAATTATGTATTGGTGGTGCTGGGTACCAATGCTGCAGGTCAAGGCTATGTTGTTATACTCCTGCCAGTGTGACATCACTGACTGCCAGCTCTCATTGACTTCCTTACAAAGCAAAGCAGCCAGAGGAAGAATTTGCTATCAATAAGCAAAAGAAGAACTATATGTGAACCATCTTCTTTACACTGTAATTTAAGTATTGATATATAAAGCAACTGTTATGAAATAAATTGCAATACCCGGCATTTAATGTGCATCAGTAAATCTTGGTGGTGATGGGAATAATAAACTTCTACTGATGGGTAGAATGGTGTGCAAGTTCATCCAACCCATGGATTGTGTGCTGCATGCAACCCAGAACGACTTTGAAAGCTGCCCAACACAATTTTGTAAACTTTCATAAATCTCATTTTTAGCTCCTCAGCTGTCATTAGTGATAATGTATTTAAAGTATGGCCCAATACAATTCTTCTTCCAGTGTGGCCCAGGGAAACCAAAAGATTGGATAACCCTGAATATCGAAAACTAATAGTGACAGTGTTTATATTTCGTGCTTTCCTAAGTACAGGTATTTTATATTTTATTTTCACATTCTTTTTGTCATTTTAGAGAATAAAAAAATTCTGTTAATTTTTTGGAGCCATTGTTATCTCACAGAAAATAATTGCCTATATTTTTGCACTATACTGTTTAAAATTCGCAAGATTTCTTCTAATGGAATTGTGAGAAAGATGAAATGCTTTTGTTTCACCCTGATACAGTTCTGGTAATACTCACTGAGTGACTGTGGGGTAGGAAATGATCTTTTAAGAATTCGATTTCTCTCCATTCCACAGTACAAACTGGTTCTCTGTTGAAACATTTTTCTATCATCTCAGTTCCCTGTCCATGTACATGTGTCTTATTGCTCTAGTCAAACTGTGCTTATAAATATCTTTCAAGACAGTTTTGGAGAAATCTATATCCTATTTGACTTTCAATGATCATATATTGGCTCTCAGCTTCTTACCTAATCTCAGTCCAGACAAGTAATATTGGGCAACCAGTCTTTAAAGTTTGTGGGTTGTGGATTGTGGCAGTTTCATTTTTTAATTTCAATTGAGATCTAATTTTTTAATGTACCTGTATTTTGTTTTGTTTTATGTAGCTTTTCTATTAGGGAGAATGGGAAAAATGTACCATTTTCACCTCTAAGTTTCCAGTCCATTCTTTAGAGGAACGTTAGTCTTCCTTTAGTGTTTGTTGAGATGGGGAAAGAAAAATCATAATATATTATAAATGATATTTTATAGTGGTCAATAGTTCATGTTGGTAGGCACACAAGTGGGCTTCAAACTTGGAATTTACCAGGGCTCAAAATTAGAATTCCTACATTAGTTACTCAGTATGGATTGTTGGAATTGATCTTAGGAAATTCAAGGCATAGATCTGCAACTTCTTTAAAATACTGAAGAAACAAAAAAAGTTTCTGAAAACTTTTTTGTTAACAGTTAAAGTTAACTGAAGAAACAAAATAATAGTTAAAACAATTTAAATTTTGTTTTTCATGCTTATACTCTTATCAAAATGTCTTTCCTTTGTGATTTAAAATCTGCCTGTTTGAACTATCTTCCTTAATTAATTAACCAACCCAATGTCATTTGCCTAGAGGATACAGTGTTTGTCTCCTTTACTGCCCTAAATGCTGAAAATATCTTCCATATACTACATATAATAAAGAAAGCATAGAAACATACACTTAGAAACTCAAATAGTAAGATAACAATATGACATATAGTCCAAAGTCATATTGTTGAATTTTGTTTTTATCTTTTCTTAGTATCAGGAAAGAAAAAGATGCATGAGAGAATATTATCTCTACATTCTCCCTGGCAGTGAACAAAAAGGGCTAGAAGGCAGAGGACATAGAAATGTAAACAGAACGAATATATAATTGTTGAGCCCAGAGAATTTTAAAACATAATCACAAAAGTAGTATTATATACTATCATTTTTTTATCTTAGAAGAGAAAGTCATAGAATCTTTTTTTTTTCTTTTGCTGCAGTTGTTGTAAAAGGGTATTACCTGTTTTGATGTGCTACTTTTTATGGCCATCAAATTCAATAACTCATAAAGTCAACCCACTTACACAATATGAAAATAAAGAAGTGCTGTTGTTCCCTCCTTTCTCCCCCAACTTAATACAAAAATACTACAGAATGCATTTTAGTTTCTTCATCTGTGTTACATCAGGCTTAGTGTAAGCTCTTTGCTTTTCTTTATAAGCCATGGTTAATGTATGTATGCCTTATATAAATATTTTACACCCTGGAAAATCTTATTTCCATAGAGATTTGGTTCAATGTTTCTGAATGTGTCTAATGACTGAATTGTGTCCTTAGTCAAGAATCAATTATGGAAGGTAAACTTTAGCTTCATTAAACAGTATGCTAATTGTAATTGTATAATATATCCAATGACACACAGAAGAAAAATCAATGAGTTATTAATATGGGCTATTTTATTCTATATTTTACTTCTTCAATTCTGTACTTGCAAATGACAATTATAGGAATTGAAGAGGAAATTATTAGTCAAGCACAATTGAAAATTCTGTATGTAGTTTGTACAAAGGTGTCAACACTTTCAGAATATTGTCACCAGAGAATCCAGGGTCAACCAACATGTTATCTGTCTTCATCACCATAATCACTGTTTTTTTGTCATTAACAAATTCTGTCCTTTAGTCGTATTGAAAGTATCTTGAAAACCTACTGTATGTGAACATTATGTTAGGCGCTACAATTCTAGCTGTGAATAGACAGCCATAGTCTCAGCCCTCATAGAGATTGCATTTCAGTAAAAGAGCCATATGATCAAATTAAAACTAGAGAACTTATTCTCTTACTATCATTTCTAATGAACACTACTAGAAAAACATATAAAGGATTGGATTCATTTGAGGTGTCAAAAAGTTTCTTTGAGAAAGTGGTATCTGAGGTCAACTATGAATTATGATTAGGACTTATCTGGGGTGAAGAGGGAAGAGTTCATCAGAAAAACCCCTACCAAAACATTATGTCATGAAGAATCATGGCATTTTCATAGAGTGGAAGGAAGGACAGTACAGCAAGGCTAAGGGAAAAACTAAAAGAGGAAGCTGGTAAGAAAAGTGTCAACTGGTTAGGCTCTAGTAAGTATTTACTGTAAGTATTTACAAAAGCTATGGGACTTACTCTGACATGCATAAAATATACAGAATGTATTATTCTACTGTCATGAAAAGAGGTGAAGTCAAAATTCCCTTACCACTAAATCCCAAGTTAATAAAATAATTTTTAATAATTACATCTTACATGGGCCTCATCATTGCAGTTATTTAATGAATTGTTTTCAACTTAATGGGACATCAACTTCAGCAAGTAATTACCTGCACACTGTCCAAAACAACAAATCTGTTTGTAGTGTATGTAATTTGAGAGGCAGAAGTCATGAGGATCAATATATGAATCCATAATTGGGAAAGAGAGCTGAGGAAGATGATGGAATAACTCTCTTCAGGAATGGTCTCTGCCCACAGAAACATCAATTTGAATAAGTATTCATGCATGAAAATGCCTTCAACATAGCTAAGAAAACCAGGTAAGAGATTACAGTATCTGATTATAGCATATTAATAAGAAAAGATGGACTGAAGAGAGTAGAAAGGTTTTATACTACCTGCATTACCCACCCACCCCCACCAACCCCAGGCATATAGTACAGAGAGATAGCATCTACTTGTGAGAAAGGTAAAGAAATGAGCATAGAATTTTGCCTTGATACCTAACATCAGAGTCAATCCAAACAAGACTATCCCAAGACATATTAAAATCAAACTGTTAAAGATTAAAAACAAAGAGAGGATTCTGAAATCAAGAGAAAAGGAATAGATAACACATAAGGAAGTTTCAGTACACCTAGCAGCACACTTCTCAGCATAAAACGTACAGGTCAGGAGGAAGTGGAATGATTCAAAATACTAAAAAGAAAAAATGTTATCAACCAAGGATATTGTACCCAACAAAGCTGCCCTTCAGAAATGCAGAAGACATAAAAACTCCCAACCACAGAAAAGCATATGATTTCCACTGATGCAGAAAAAAACATTTGGAAAAAAATCAACATTCCTTCATTTAAAAAGAAATCTATCAAAAAAATTAGATATGGAAGGAATGCACCTCAACACAATAAACACCATATATGACAAATCTACATCTAATGTTATACTCAAAGGAGGAAGTTGAAATGTTTTTCTCTAAGTCTAGAAACAAGAAAAGGACTCCCAACCTGCCTCTTCTATTCAACATAGCACTGGAAATCCTAGCCAGAGTAAGTAGGCCAGAGAAAGAGATAAAAGACATCCAAATTGAAAAGGAAGAAGTTAAATTATCTGTTCTTGTAGAAGATGTAATTTTATGTGCAGAAAGCCCTAAAAATTCCACCAAAAAACTATTACAGCTAATAAACAAATTCAGTAATATTGCAGGATACAAAATCAACACGTAAAATGATTAACATTTTTATACATGAAAGCAAACTATCTGAAAAAGGAATCAAACAGTCTCATTTACAATAGCTAAAATATAAAAATAAAATGCATAGAAATAACTTCAATGAAATAAATGAAAGTGCTACACTAAAAGATAGAAAACATGAAGGAAGAAATTGAGGAAGACAAAAATAAATGGAAAGATATCCCAGGTTCATGGAGTAAAAGAATAGATATAGTTAAAATGTCCATACCATCTAAAGTGATCTACAGATTTAATGCAATCTCTATCGAAATAGAAAAGTTATTCCTCGCAGAAACAGAAAAACATCCCAAAATTCATAAGGAATCCCAAAAGACCTTCAATAGCCAAAGAAGTTCTTGTACAAAAAGAACAAAGTTGGAGGCATTACATTACCTGCCTCCAAAATACACTAAAAAGCTCTAATAGTACAAAATACAATAACTGATAAAGTACAGCTTCTGAAAGTACCAAAACAGCATGGTAATGTCAAAAAGCAAGCAAACAAACAAAAAACAGACACAGAGATCAGTGGAACACAATCTAAAGCTCACAAAAAATTCAAGCATTTACAGCCAACTAATTTTTATCAGTAGTGCCATGAACACACAATGGAGAAGGACGATCTCTTTAATAAATGGTGTTGAGAAAATGACTACCCACATGCAAAAAATAAACTAGAATTTTATCTCACACCATATCAAAAAATCAA